TTTTTTGATATTATTTAGAGCATGAAAAAGAAGAATGAGAGGAATGCTCGTTTTATAGCCTGAAGCCTACAGTTTCAACAGTCCGGAAATCTCGCACACGTTAGGAGATTGCGAAGCGGTTTTGACCGAGTGGGAAGAGCGGAGAAGTTGAGAGGAAATCACGTTGAGATTTCAGGAGAAGATCTTTTATTCAAAATAAAACTTATCCTTTCCGTGCTCCAAAAAGAAAGGAGTCGGCTCCGCGTTCCCAAGAGCCCAAGAGCCCACGGCCTATGCCTGGGCTCGGCACGGTTCAGTTCGGCGCGTCTGTGGGGTTTCATTAGGTTCTTCCATGGTGCATGTGTGTTCTTAATGTTTTGAACACTACACATGCATGCTCCTATTTATACACCAACAAAATGTCTCCCCTAAGGGACAAGGGACATTTTAAGTGTGCATTCATTAAATGAGTTTTAAGGCTTTCTCACTCTTAGAGCATCTCCAACCCAACACCAAACCTATTTTTTGGTGTAAAATTCTCTCCAACCCAACACTATTTCCAACACCAAAATGGTGTGAACCCATCTTCTACATCATATTGAACTTTTTTTTATTTATAAAAAGGTCTAAAAACATATACAAATTGTGATGGTTAAAGCCAAATCTAATATGTTTGATAATAATTAAACAAAATCTTAATATATTTTGTTATTTTATATGTTACAATGTATTTATTTTATATAATAAATGTTAAATTTAATTTATTTCATAATTTTTTAAACTAAAAAAAATATGTGAGGTTGATTTGTAAATTTTAAAGAATTGAAAAAAAAAATCTATTAAGAATATTCAATTTTGTGTAAAAGTTGGTGTAAACCATTGGAGCAAAACCCAACACCATTTTGGTGTTACCCCATTTGTGGTGTAAAAGATGGTGCAAACCATTGGAGATTCTTTTAGGGCCCAAAAACATTCATTTCTCATTTAATCTCTTAGACCAAATTTGACCAAACCAAATGCCAACCAATTGGCCCATTTGTTTATTCAAATTGGTTCCAACAAT